GATTTCTCTCTCTTTCCAATAAAGACATGAGACAGATTCAGCTAACGCTCCAATTCTGCATTCCTTTTCTTCCTCCAAGAACTGTTCTGAACTTGGGCCAAAACATTCCTGTATTTTTTTCAAGTAGTAAAATGTACATGTTCTGACATACCTTTAGGTCTTGATTTTCCTCCATACTCTGATCCAGACGACTCTGGATTATAATCTGAATATAAAACAAAAAAGAAATGCTAGGCATCTATGCTATGAAATTCCAAGGCCATCTATTCAACAATTTTTTTTTTGGTACTTGGGATCAAACTCAGGACCTTGTGCTTACAAGGCAGGCACGGCAACACTGAGCTAAATACCCAGCCCTGAACAAATTATTTTTGAGCACCTACTACATTCCAACTCTATGTTGTTGGCAGAAAGAGGAAACAGTCCTTGCCCCTGGATGAAGGCATATACCCAAAGTTCATCGAGTAAAACAACATGGCTAAAGCTTAAAATTAAGATGTGTATACTGGGAGCTGGCGGTGGGCTAACAGGAAGATGAAATATCAAGACTGGAGAGGAAGATAGAGCTGGGGAAAGCAATGGGGAATTGACGAAAAGTTTTATGCAGAGGTACAACAGAATGGAGTTTGCCTTTAAGGTAAATTATTCTTGCTGTTTTATACAAAAAGAAATTAAAGAAGGATAGAAGAAGAATCAGGGAAACCAGTAAGAAGGCTCATAGAACGCCAACTAAAAGCCTGAATTAAAGTACCAGCTGTAGGAATAAAGAAAAGAAGAAGGAAGGATCAGAAAGGATTCAAGGATGAAAGTAGATTTCTGTTCGGGGCATTTGGGTAGATGAATTTTTGGTGGTTGGGTAGAGGTCAGAAAAACTGTCAAAGTTAAGACTCATTGAAGTTGAGATGCTTATAGGACCTACAAGTAGAGATCATGAGCATGCTGTATATGTAAATCTAGAACTCCTCAGAGAGATCTGAGCTGGAAAAACATATATGAGAAGCAGGTGGACAGTGGTGAAGACATGCAAGCAGATAATACTGCCCAGGGACAGATGAAACAGATGAGGGCCCCAAGTGGAGTACAGATGAGCACTGTTGCTTAAGACGCTGACAGAAAAGGGGACCAGATGTACACTCCGTGAGGGTAGGGTATTAGGTCTGTTTTGTCCCTCTCATATCTCTGGTACTTTGAAACAGTGCCTACTGGGCCAGGGATTTAGCTCAGTAGTTCTGCCACCTGCCCCGAAAGCGCAAGGATTCAATCCCCAGTACCAAAAAAAAAAAAAAAGAAACAGTGCCTACCATAGAGTCAGCACACAATAAGCACTTGTTGATCGAATTGAAAAAGTTAAAAATGTAAGATGATGATCTGATTAAAATACAGGCAACTGAGATGAATAGGCACTTCTAAAAAGAAGTACAAATGGCCAAGTACATGCAAAACATGTTCAACATCTTTAGTCATTAGGGACATGCAAATCAAAACAACTTTGAGGGGCTGGGGATTTAGCTCAGTGGTTCCGACACATGCCTCAAAAGCGCAAGGACCCAAGTTCAATCCCTGGTACCAAAAAAAAAAAAAAAATGTTGAGATTCCATCATATCTCAGACAGAGAGGGTATCATCAAGAACAAAAAAAACAACAAATGCTGGTGAGGAGGGGGTAGGGGAAAAAACCCTCCTACATTGTTGGTAGGAATGTAAACTAGTACGGCCACTATAAACATCAGTAAAAGCCAGGCATGGTGGGGGACACATGTAAACCCAGCACTCAGGAAGCTGAGGCAGTCGGATCATCATGAGTTCAAGGCCAGCCTGGGCTACATAGTGAGTTCAAGACCAACTTGAACTACATAGTGAGACACTGTCCTAAAAAACAAAAAAGCAATCCCCCCCAAAAAAAAGATCAGTAGAAAGATTCCTCAAAACAACTAAAAACTGGGGCAGGGATTTAGCTCGGTGGTGCCACACAGGCTCGAGGTCTTTAGTTCAATCCCCGGTACAAAAAAAAAAACTAAACTAAAAACAGAAATACCGTCAGGGATTTAGTTCAGTGGTTTTGCCACCTGCTGTGCAAGCGCAAGGACCTGAGTTCGATCCCCGGTACCAAAAAAAAAAGCAATACCATTTGACCCAGATATACTTCCCCTGGGTATATTCCTGAAAGAATTAAAGCTCAAGGTCATACCAGGGTGATATATGCATACCCACATTTATCACAGCACAATTCATAATAGCTAAGCTTTGGAAACAGCCTAGTTGCCTGCCAACATTAGAATGACTAAAGAAAATGTGGTATAATATACACAACAGAATATTATTTAGTCATAAAGAATAAAATTGCTAGGGCCAGGGATTTAGCTTGTTGGTTCTACCACTTGCTTCACAAGTCCAAGTACCTGAGTTTGATCCCTGGTACAAAAAAAAAAAAGAATAAAATCGCTAGGTGTGGTGGTGCACACCTGTAATCTTAGCACTCAGGAGGCCTTATGCTTAAGGCCAGCCTGGCTGCATAGTAAGTTCAAACCCAGCCTAAACTACATAGGGGGACCCTGTCTTAAAAGAAAAAAAAGAAAGAAAAGAAAGAAGAATGAAATCATGTCATTTGTAAGAAAAATACAGTAGCACCTTGGTTCACAAATGCTTTTGTTTGTGAACAATTTCATTTGGCAGAATTTTGTTTTCGTTTGCAAGCTCTACACTGGGTGACAAACATGACCACTGCCACTTTCTCCCATGAACACAAATGTGGTCATCTTGTCCAAAATTATGAAACAAATTATGTTCATGAACCAAGGTACCACTGTAGCTGGAACTTGAGACCATCATACTAAGCAAAATAAGCCAGACTCAGAAGGTTAAATCTCACGTTTTCTTTTATGAGAAACCTAAAATATATATAAATAAATGACATTTGTAGGAAAATGGATGTGCTTGAGACCACAATGTTAAGTGAAATAAATCAGACACATAAGCTTAAATATCACATGATTTTTCTTATATGAAAAACCAAAAGTATAAATAAATTAAAAATCAAAATAAAAGATAGATAATAGGAAACAGGAATGTAGATCTTTTGCAAAAGGGAAGGGGACCAAGATATGGAAAGAAGACGAGGGAAAGGAAATGAAAAGAGAATAAGGTAGGTAATGTACATGTACCAACCCTTCACAATGAATGTAGTCTTTTTTTTTTTTTGTACCAGGGATCAAACTCAGGACCTTGAACTTGTGAAGCAGGCACAGTGCCACTGAGCTAAATCCCCAGCCCTAGTGTAATCTTTATATACTGCAAATATGTTCTGATAAAAATAAAAATTTTAAATAAAAAGTAAATAGGGCTGGGGATTTGCTCAGTGGTTCCACCGCCTGCCTCGAAAGCACAAGGTCTTGAGTTCAATTCCTGATACCAAAAAAAAAAAAAGTAAATAAAATTCAGGAGAAATGAAAGGAAACTAGAAGATGGACTTTTTTTTCAGTACCAGGGATCAAACTGAGGACCTTCCACTTGCCAGGCAGGCATGGCACCACTGAGTTAAATCCCCAGCCCAAAGGTAGACTCTTAGAGGTGAGGAAGGAGACTGAAGAAAAAGGGATGGAGGCGAGATAAAGGGATTGAAAATGATCAAGATATGTTATATGCATGTACCAAGTCTCCAAAGTAAACATCTCTATGCCTATAACAAACATGTTCTAATAATAATAATTTTAAAAAGACAAAACCTGCCAGGTTTGGTGGTGCACCCCTGTAATCCCAGCACTCGGGAGGCTGAGGCAGCAGGATTGCCGAAAGTTTGAGGCCAGCGTGGGCTACAGAGTGAGTTCAGGGCCAGCCTGAACTATAAAATGAGACCCTGTCTCAAAAAAATATTTTGAAAAATAAAAAGATGAAACCAACAAAGAGTTGGAGTCAAGAAAAGAGTATTTCAGGGCCGGGGATGTAGCTCAGTGGTTTCACCACCTGCTGTGCAAGCGCAAGGAACTGAGTTCGATCCTCAGTATCAAAAAAAAAAAAAAAAGAAAAAGAAAAGAAAAGAGCATTTCAAGAAGTTATGGTTAAGAGAGTCAAAAGCTAAAAAATAAGTCGAATACATAAAGCAGACATAGCGTGTCCTCATGAAAGATGAAGCTCACCAGCTGTTCCTCGGGATTGACTCCGGGTTCACAGAGGGCCAGGGGCCTCTCCTGTTCATCTTCAGGTAAGGATCCATTGAGCAGTAAGGCCTGAATAACCACAAAAGCAGAAAGGAACATCATCACTATGTATTAGATGACTACATTCAGAGCTGGGCTTGGTAAAGTCACCCCAAATTAAAATCACAATCTGGCTTCCTCTAGAAATCTTCTTGGTAACTTACAATTGCTCTCTTGGAGCTACTGTAGCTCCTTTTGTCCACCCCATGCTCTAGGCCTTTTTCATCCCCCTGCATAAACATTAAACCTCTGCCTCAGAGCTCTGTGTCCCCAGAAAAAAATCTAAAAACAAACCTACTTCTCAGAAGCAACAGAACATACTTCAGACTGGAAATGTTCTAACTAAATTTTACCAGCTGGAAAGAAGCAGTGCAGAATTATCCTGGCTTGACTGGACATGGTGGCACTCTCCTGTGATTCCAGCACTCCAGAGGCTGAGACAGGAAGATTGCCATGAGTTTGAGGCCAGCCTGGGCTACATAGTGAGTTCAAGACCAGCTTAAACTACATAGCGAGACTCTGTCTCAAAAAAAAAAAACCTATCCTAGAAAAGTGTATTATATGTGATAGGTTTTGTTGTTGTTGTTTGTTTGGGGGGGGGCGGTTTGGTATCAGGGATTGAACTCAGGACCTTGTGCTTGTGAAGCAGGTGGCAGCACACTGAGCTAAATCCCCAGCCCTTTTGTTCTTGTTTTTTGTGGGAGTTTTTTTGGTACTGGGGATTGAACTCGGGTCCTTGCGCTTGCGCAGCAGGTGCCGAAACCACTGAGCTAAATCCCTGGCCCTTGTTCTTGTTTTTATGGTGCTGGGCATGGAACCCAGGGCCCCGAATATTATAGGTAAGCACACTCTACCACTGACTTATACCCTGAATCTCAGAAAAGTTAATTATGATGAATTATTTGAAATATGTAGAGAACAATGACTTGGGATGGTTTGCTTTTTGTTTAATAATTCTGTATTTTTACTCCCTTTAGTAACCTGGAAAGAATAAGAAGAAAAACATTTTTCAGAGATGTCCTCTTTCATTTCACCCCCAGGCTCTGTTTTCATTAGAATATTAGTGGGTCTTGAAAGGGCTAAGCAGATTTACCATGAAGCTAAGGAAACTCTAGCTTGAACCCACTGTGTGCACTGCCTCTCCCAAGATTCTGTATCTAATATTGTGTTCATACTTTGTAATCTTATTCTTAAAGAAAGACCCTCCTAGGGCTGGGGATTTAGCTCAATGGCACCATGCCTGCCTTGCAAGCACAAGGTCCAGAGTTCAATCCCCATTACCACACACAAAAAAGAAAGACCCCCCTAAACTCTAACTTTGGGATCCCCAAAACTTGGATTTGTCCTTGCAGATAGGTATCACGAGATCTATCAGATCAGTGAAAGACTGAAAAATGTGTCTATTTTACATCACAATTCCATTCAGTTTAAGGGAAGAGTTATAGAGATTAAATCTTGTTTCAATAAAAATAACACAAATTCTTCACAAATGTCAATAAAAAATGTTTTAAAGCCAGACATGATGCATGCCTGTAATTCCAGTACTCTGGGAGGCTGAAGCAGGAGGATCACAAATTCAAACCTGGCCTGGGCAACTTAGTGAGATCCTGTCTCAAAATTTAAAAAAGTTTTGAGAGCGTTTTTTGAGACAGGGTCTCACTATATATTCCAGGCTGGCCTCAAACTCCCTGTGTTGCCTAAGCTGGCCTCAAACTCACAGTAATCCTCCTGCCTCAGCCTTCTCAGTACTGGGATAACAGGTGTGTGCCACCATGCCTAACTCCTTCAAAATAAAATTTTTAAAAGGGGGTAAGGGTGTAGCTCAGTGCAGAAGTCCAGGGTTCAATCCCCAATACCTCAAAAAAGAAAAATCCAGCCAACAGTTCATCTACTAAACACTAATAATAATTTTAATAATGAATCTGATTATCCCATGGAGTCACCGGCAGAGGTACATGACACTTCAGAGCTGCAGGAAGCTAAGGGAGAGCAAGTTTACAGAAATCGTGACTCTAATGACAAACTGTTCAACAAACCCTAACTGAAGCATACTAAGAAGTCAGAAATCTTGCATGTGGTTTAGCATGCAACTTGTTTGTGACTGAGTTAAGAGGCCCCGTGGATGCTGTGAGTCCTTTTGTATTCCACAATAGAACTGAATTCTCATTGTGATCATGTAGCTGTGAATTAAAATTTCTCTGTTTGCAGGGAATATAAAGATGCTGACTTTCTGCCTGTTAATTTTCTTCTTTTCTGTTTCATCTGCCATCAAATTTCTCCCAGACCAAGAAATACAAACCAAACTAAGAGCCAAAGTGATGGTTATACATCCTCATATAATGCAAATATTCACGCGGAAAAACCTGGTTGGGTATAATCCCAAAGTTTTCATGGAATTTACCTATTAAAACACACCAAAAAAAAAAAGGAATCCATTACGGTATTCTTCAAAGAGGAGGCAGAAAAGGGACTTCAAAGACCTCACAAGCCAGACATTTATTTTTAAAATATAGAGCATAGAGCAAAAGGGGGGGAAAACCACCACTTTCTTTAGGAATGTTTAGGCAGTTCCTACAGCATATATTACGCAAATTGCTTCCCCACTGCACCAATCTCCTTTCTTCTTTAGGAACACTTTGTGTCCCCACCCTGTTGCTGACTGGGTAGGAGCACGCCCTCCATCGCCTGCCGGCTGCCAGAACCACACACATAATGTGGGCTTTGTTTACGTGCCCATAAATATTTCACAATTCTGAAGCAGTGCAGTTCCCAGCACAAACAGAAAGGAATATTCCTAGGCAATTTCAGGGTCATCAGCACACTACAAGGGCGCCCCAAACAGAAAGAATCACACAAAGACACAGGATTGAGGGGGTCATTCAGGGTGGGAAGTATGTCAAGTGGGTCAACCTGTCTCTGGGGGCAATTTGCTGAGCAGACATGCAGGTATAGGAAAAGTGGAAGGGCTTTGTTGCTCAAGAAAAACCTCTTCTACCTGATCATTATGCCCCACAACCACTTGCAAACACATTAAGTGTGAGCTAAATCATTAGCCAGACTCAAATGGAAACCTGGCGGCACTACTGGCTCTTCCACCTTTCCAGATGGAGAATTCCTCAGAGAAAATTCCCGACTATTCACAGTATTATTCTTCGCTGAAAGCTGCAACTGCCAAGTCTGCAGCAGCAGAAAAGAGAGAAACCTACCTGTGAAGCAAAGACAAACTATGGGTTTGATAGGGGGTGGTAATGGCTTCTAAGCTAGCAGAAATCCCAACAGCTGTGCTATAAACAGCAGTCCACAAAGTCCATTTAAAACACACATGTAAGGAATCTTTGCTCTTTGTATACTATCCTAATTCCTCATTCAACTCTGGTCTCATACAAAACTAAAAGCAGCTTTTCTTCAATTGACACTAGTGACAAAAGTAATAATCAGTTGGTACATTAAAGACAAACTACAAGGGAAAGAGCTACCTGTAGTCCTGATATCATTTTCTTTGCTTCCTCCATTTCTTTTTCTAAGTGTTCTTGTTGTTCCAACAGCTGTTCTTCCCATGAGGTCTCCAGATGGGTTCCAGGGCTCCCTGGCTGCCAGTCTCGAGGTAATGGAGAGTCTGTCTCCTCTATAAAATGAAAGGTGGGAGAATAGTTCATGTTGAAGAAAACCAATTTTCGGCAGAAAGCATTCACAGAGCAGTTCACAGGTTCAGGTCATCTGCTTTCTGAACCTGTCCTCACAGACAAACTGGACTCTCCACCAGGTGGGGTTGTGAGGCATAATAAACTGGAAGTTAACTCTGGCTCTAGGCTCAGGGAAGTATCAGTCACTCTGCTAGGGAAATCTGACTTCCTAAACCCTTAAGAAGCAGGAGTTCCACCATCATTCTTGGTATGGGAGACATACCATTTATTTATTTATTTGTTTGTTTGTTTGTTTGTTTGTTTATTTTTGGTACCCAGGATCAAACGCGGAACCTTGTGCTTTCGAGGCAGGCGTCGAAACTTTTACTCTTAATTTTCTAGATGGCCATTCCCTGGACCTGATTTTGCCACGTACAAAGAAAAGAAATGTTGGATGCAATAAAAACAAATCCCTATTGGTTACCCTGGAGATTTAGGAGGGAGACCATAATTCAATATTCCTTTGACGGCTTTGAGTCATAATTACATTCCTTTCACACAGAACATTGTGTGAATCACACAGGAAAACCAGTAAAAGTATACTTACAAAATTGTTTAATATTGCTCCCTGGTTTTATTTCTCTACCTTTAAGGCTTCTCTGTTCTGGTTTCCCTGCCTGCTTTTATCCTAACTATATGGACAGTCTTTGAAATGCATTATGGCCAGGGATGTAGCTCAATGGCGCTGTGCCTGCCTGGCAAGTGCAAGGTCCTGAGTTTGATCCCAAGTTCCACAAAAAAAAAAAAAAGCAATGAAATGCATTATGGAATACAGAAGGATACAAACTCTTTTAAGTGTCTTCATAAGAAGAGTATGATAATTCCTTTAGATTGTGTTGAAGATTAAAAGAAGTAACTTATAGGCTGAGATGTGGCTCAGTGGTACAGTATTTGCCCAGCCTGTACAAGGCTCTGGGTTTAATTCCAAGCACCACAAAACAAACAAAAAAATATGTGCAGACCCTAGAGGTACCTGGCTCAGAGCAGATACTCAATAAACATTCCTCTCTTCCCTCCCTAAGCCACATGGAGTTTGTGACTCAATAGCATGACTGACTGTTGGTGCTAATGCCAGGGCCAAAGAGGAGCAGAGGGCAAAAGAATTTAGTTTTTCTTCTGATAGCTTCAGTTCCATCACACTTATGGGTGAATGAAATTCAGTCTAACTCTTGTGCTTTGATTCTCCCATGCTTCTGTTTATGTAAGAAAAATAATGAGACAAATGAGACAGATTAAGAAGACTAAACAAAGAGAACACTTTCTGTAGCCCTCACACCAAGCCTAATGTGGACCTGCTCTCCCCTGTATGTTCTCACAGACATCTCGGTTCATATTATATATTCCTGGCCCCGATTTAAGTTAGGCAGGTATCCAAATTATTTGTATAAGACAGGAATAATAAAAATTGTTTACTTGAGTAAAGCTTCTAATTATCCCAAAGTCATTTTCTAATTCACAGGCAGCCAGCTGGGGAAGGGATTGTCTATGGTGCTACATGATTCTTGACAGCTAGGACACCAGAAAGGACACTCTATTAAGAGGATAACGACATTAATTGGGGGCTGGGGATTTAGCTCAGTGGTTCTGCTGTCTGCCTCCCAAGCACAAGGACCCGAGTTCAATACCCAGTACCAAAAAAAAGACATTAACTGGCTCCAAGGCATTAGAGCACAGACCATGGAGAGGAACAAGGCCAGGGAGCTTAGAGACAGATAGTTAGGACCTCCAAATTCTTCTGCTGAGAGTCATTTGTTGATCCAACCAAAGCAGAGAGACAAGGAGTACCTGTTCTGTTCTCTATTCCTTCTGAGGGAATAATCACAAAATCTGCCTTCTCCTCCGCCTGGGTTATAATGGATTCACTCTTTGCACTGTGGATTGGACTGGGTGAAGTCAGGCTGTGATCAAAGAAAAAGGAAGATACACAACATTATTTTAGAAGCCAACTTTCATAATTTATCTTAAAGACATGCTCTTATTCATCTTACTCCAAGTATCCCAATACCTAACCCACAGTAAGAACACATTCTGTTGAATGACAAACTTGAATGAATTAAATCAAAGTATGAATGAATAACACAGTCCTAGGAAGACTTTTCTACAACAAAGCTGTCTGTAAGCATAATTGAGAAAAGAATTATCAGAAGAATAGGTAGTCTAGTATTTAAAGAACATTAAGTTTTGTTTTTTTATTTCCCACTACCCCTAACACTACCATCTCCAGGCCCTTGTTCAGATACTGGTGCCAGTTCATGTCTTAAAAGCTTTTGGATCTAGAAGAAAATCCTATTTCCAATACCCTGATCTCTAAATACAAGCAGTACCAGCAGAGTGATCACAGATCAGCTCTAGGCTGATCCAAAGGAGAGGACAGGGTGAGGATAGATCAGGGGTAGAAATTGCTAGAGTGTATACAGTGCCAGGCAGGGAAGAGGGGCAGTAATCTATCAACAATTAAACCAGAACACGATAAGGGTAATATGTCAAAAGACCTGCTAGGAATAGTAAAGGTTTACTGGATTTATTCCCATCAGAAAGTTATTTGTGGGCCAGGGATTTAGCTCAGTAGTGGTGCTGCCTGTCTTGCAAGCGCAAGGTCCCCCGGTACCGCCCCCCTCAGAAAAAGTTATTTGTATCTCTGCCACAATAAGTTCAAGTCGTCATCAACAACTCTTAAGTTCTGATGTAACTACTAGTCTTGGGAAAATTGTTCAATGTGACTTTAAATCTCTAGAACAGTGCTCACTTCGGCAGCACATATACTAAATCTCTGGAACAACAGCAAATCAGTAAGACAAGGTGGGAACATGGGGCTGATGCTTCTCTGATAAGGACAAAGGGAGTCAGAAGAGCCATTTCTCTTTTCATTCCATCTTGAGAACATCAGCAGTGAAAGAATCTCAGGGGCTTGTGGGGTCTGCAGACCCAGCCCCCCCTTGGGCATTCTTTCCACATCCATCACCCAGACAACAGTGAAAGTGTCTAGGATTCACTGACCCACTTAATGTGCCTCTGAAGTCTCCCAGGCTAATCCTCACAACACCGATCAGGAGTTAATATTTCACCTTCCTAGAAACCAGCAAAAAACAAGAGCCAAACACAGGGGAAAGACCCAGAGATTTCAAAACCTGTGAAGAAGCCTGAGAACGAATGTCTCATTCTCCTTGATCTCCAGAGTTGAGGAGCTTTGGTTGGAATGCCCTCAATCAATACTCTGCTCCCTTCCTTAGAACTACAGGGAAAAAAGTATGATATTGCGTTACTTTAAGCTTTAGAAAGTTGCTAAACCATACTTATAGATCCATAACTCAAACAGGTCAAAGAGATGAGAGGTGATAAGAAGTGGTATTCAGAAATGATGGGCGGTTTCTATAACACTCTTATCCATCTTTCACCACTTAGGCAATCTGACTTCTAGGCCAACATGAATTAGCTGCTGGAAAAGCTACTGTCTAAGGGTACTTTGTCATTTATAAGGAGAACAGATTTATGACCTCTGAGGCCTCAGCATTTACATCTTGCAGAAATGGAAATCTAGGTGCAGAAAGAAGCCTGTAACTGTTGCTGCTCCTCCTAAGGAGTAAGAGACAACATCACTTTCTCAGCTGACAAGGTGCTATGGATAACATATTCCACTGCCTGCATTTAGCTGGACCATAGAAGGCAAGTGCGAGACAAAGGTGGGGAGGGTGTACTGTGAACCTAGGACGTTGGAAAACTGCTTTCCTAAAAGCACAGACTCATGCTTAGCTCCACCTCCTTCCTCCTAAGTGAGCTGTCTCCCATATAAGGCCAGAAGGAGGCGGACTCTGGATACCCAGCCCCACTTGGGGAGTGGCAGAGCAGCCAAAGGAAAACAACATTTCTCTTTCTTGAATTGCAGCTTCCAGGGTGAGGCCACTGAGGTAAGATCAGGAATCTAGATGGCCAAGTCAAAAGATGAAGGACCCAAACAGAAAAATCCTAAGGCAGCGTGCTGCTTCCCTAAGTATCTCCTGGAAGAGGAAAGTGCTGTCAATCCTCTGCCTCGGGGCAGAGAAAAGTGTTTTAATGCTAATTGATTCTAAGACTTCGGCCCCTCCTCACTAGTGTAAAAGACCTGTTTTATAAACAAATAACCCCCCACCTCCCATCATAATCCTTTCTGAAGGCAAAGAACGACCGGATTACAAATCAGGTCTGAACGATACATTTCGTAATTGCCATAGGTCTAGTATCTCTGCCACCTTAATTTATCAGACAAGCTATCCCCCAGCAAAGATACTTCCAAATTACACTTAAATCCGTATTTTTAAATGGGTAATGGGATGAGAAAGAGTCCTGTCCCTTCCCCTGCAGAGAGACGCTGGCTCCATTCCTAAACCCACCGTATTTTATAGTGATAATCCCCGACCGACATTCTGTGCTCCCTAGTACAGCGCCCCCAGTCATCCCCGGTCCAAGCATCCTCCAGTCCCTGCCTCGTCCTACCCATGCCCCCACCTCGAGAGCCAAAGTGGCTTCCGCTCACCATTTGACTTGTGTCCCTCCCATGGTCCCCTCTTGGCTCCGGCTTCAGCAAGCCTGCTTCCCTGGGTGAAGTGGGAGGCTGAGAGTCACTTCGCTCCCAATTTCGGGCATGTCTCTCAGCGCGGGGACGCGAAGCAGGACTCTACTAATGAGCCCACCTACAGAGAGGCTCGCCCGGATCGCCGGAGAAAGTAGGAAGGGCAGAGGCAGGCGTCTCAGCCCCAGAGCTGGCGCTGCTCCGGGGTGCGAAGCGCCCTGTCCCGGCAGCTCAGACTCTGCGGCAGCTGGGCCTCGGCGGAAGCTGCCTCCCCAAGCGGGCGGCCGGTCCCTGGCTGCAGCATCGCGGGCTCTGCGGCCGCGTGGCCTCGGGCATCCCCCGAAGCGCAGGCATCTCAACCCATCTCCACCCTAGAGGCTGCCGGCGCCTCGGGCTGCGCGTCGAGTCCCCGCAGGGCGTGCGGGTGACCACTCTCCGCACCGTCTCCCCGGTTCCTCCCTTCTCGCCCCCCTCCTCCCTACCCCTCCCAAGCTGTCACCAGCG